ACAAACCACCGGCGCCGGTGATCGTGGACGACGGCATGATCCTGGAGGAGATGGACAGCCTGCCGCCGCATCCCTCGTCGGCACCCCTGGACGACTACAACCCGCCGAGCATCTTCTACGTGGACGGTGGCAGCACCGGCGCCATCAGCTACGACGACTGTCCGCACTCGCTCTACGCCGCGCGCCGCGGCAGCTTCCGGCGCTCCGACACGCTGGACGTGAGCGCTCCGGGTCTGCTGCAGATGCGCAAGACCAGATCCTTTCACTCCAACGAGCCGCCGACCGTGGAGGACGTGCTGATGGCGCGCCGCACGAGCAGCAGTGTCCGGAACTCACTGCTGTACCCCAACGAGCTGGCGGTGGCGCCACTGGCGACGCCTGAACACTCTCCGGCCTCCGAACGCCGGAACTGCTCCATGCATCGCTCCTTCAACGATCCGCAGAAGCAGCGGATCATGAGCCGGCGGGATGCGATGAAGTGCCACTCCTTCAGTGAGAACATCTACCCGGACGAGAGCGAGGAGCGCCGCAAGGATGTGAAGAAGTTCAGCTCGGCCAATGTGTCGCTGGAGAATGAGCTGTTCAGGTCGCGGAGCAACAGTCGCACGCGGAGTCAGCCGGAAGAGGAGACGGCGGTGGACATTAGGGTGGAGTACAGTCCGCGTCCGGCAGTGCTGAAGCGTCAGATGACGACGGTGCACTCGCCAGAGCCCGCCGCTCATGCCCTGAGCAGATCATCGCGCACAGCCAAGAGTTTCTATCTCTCGCCGGCGTCCTACGATGAGCTACGATCAGTGTCACCTAGGCGATCGCCAGCGGATGCTAGGAAAGTCTACAGTTCGAGCATGAAGTACAAGATGGACAAGGAGAATGCGAGTCTCGTTCCCACGGGAGCCAAGAAGTCCAAGAGCTTCATTGCGGACGCCTTGCCGGTGCCGCGAGCCTTCGAACTGGAGCGAAACATATCACCCTACGGCTGGGATCGCGGCAAACTCTTCCCAACCGACGAGATCACGAAGGTGCAACGCAGTCCGAGGTTAACGCAGAGTATCAAGCTCCCGGAGACGCGATCATCGTACGAGAGCCGCCGAAGCTCGCTCGGCTTCGACACGCTGGGCGATGTGGACTACGACGCCGTGCTGAGGTCGTACAGACAGGGTCATCGCACGCGCCGAAAGAGCTCGACGGCGTCCCGAGGCAAGTCGAAACGCCCCACGGACTTCGACGAGAGCGACGAGAGCATCCGAAAGCGGAAGAAGATCGTGTGCATCGTGACGACGGTGTTCGTGAGTCTCGTGTTCGCCACAGTGTTCGTCGTGATCATTTCGCTGGCTCACTCAAGCGGCTCAAGTCACCACACGCACAGCAAGTCTCAGAAAACATACCCGGTCACCAGAGGACTTCCTCTGCACTACAACGGTACAGTTTGAGAAAAGACTTGCATCAAAATTCATTGAAATTTCCCGAAGCTTTTCCCCCCAAAATGCTATCGACATGCAAACTTCCCGAAATAGCAATGAATAATTTTGTATGTTTTGAAAAATATCTCAACGTTCTGGTTCTTCACACGTTCCCAAACATAAGCATTTTGCTTAAGAGAAAGAGGAGTTCCTCTTCACACAACCCGATGAGATTGTGAAAGTTTCTCTTTTGCATATTAATTTGCCCTTTAGAAGAAAATCACGAAATACAGCGTGGAATTTTGAATATGAATAAGCAAATGTGTACGCAAATTTACACATTCGACAGGAGATTTATTCCATCTATTCTCAACGCGTCCCATTGTCACCCCCACCCCCCACCCCGGGGGTTGTTTCCTAGGCAGGAAATTATACCTGAGCGGCATGATGAGAAATTAAAGCTCCGCTCCGCATAAGTAGACACTTGCCAAGCGTCCACCCTTCATTAACATTTCATTGCGAAGGATGGCGTGGAATGTTGTCGAGACATTCTGGACAAGCAATTCCGCTTTTGGGCGGAGGCGAAACTACAGACTCGTGCCGAGATTTCTCGTTTTTATTGCGACGACTCTTCGCGGGAAAAATCACAGATTGTGTTGTCAAATCAAGTGTGTGAAAAAATTTTCTGATTCCCGCGCGTATTTTTATTGATTCTTGAAGCGATTCCCATTCAAACAGGGAATGTTAAAAATGTGTTATATTAGTTTAAAACAGTTTTTGCTATCCTTAATTCCGCACGTGAGACTTTAAGTGACGATTTTGTGTTAAAAAAATCACCACTTGTGTTATTTTTCATTTTGATTCACACGTGTTAAGCCAATTTGGATCGTCTGAATGTGTTATTTGAAACTGACTTTCAGATATTGTTTTAAGAAATAACTTAATAACTTGCAAGCATGAATCAATCTGCAATTGTGGCTCTAATTTTCACGCATGAACATGAATAATGTTTGCAGTTAATCCCTTTTATCATAGATTTACTGACTATTTTCTTCCATTTTCAATCATTTTAGTAAATTTCACCATTTTCCCTTTCTTACACGATGTGTATCGCTTAAAACTCTAAAATAAAACATTAGTTTTAGCGTGAATTACAAACGCTGATCTTCCTTGTTCAATTGGATTGTTAAATTTGACATGTTTAAATTTTAACATTCTTCAGTTTGAGTGGGAATCGCTTCCTTTATTCTACAATTTTTTACAAACCGAAGGGAATTTAGAAGAATCTCGGCATCCAAGCAATCGCTTAAGTCTAACAATGCCTGAAGCGCCAGAGAATTATTTTCCAAAGGTGGAAAAGATCAACCACGTGAGGAAAACAGTCGGAAATTTTGGATGATGGTTGGCTGAGGGAGGAGAGAAAAAAACAACGAACGATTAAAGTGATTATTTTATTTACAGCATGAAAACATTTCCACAGGAGATAAGAAAGTTGTTTGAAGTTCATGCCACAAAGGAAAATTGCTTTCATTCTCTCTCTCATTCACTGATGGGAAACTTTGTCCGCGCGCGGCCCACGGAAGGTGTGGGCTCATGAGGGGCTCCGCCTCGAGTGCTTCCTCCACGAAAGGAGGGCATAAAAGTGATTTATTCGTAGCCTCTGGAAGTGGCTTCGAAAATCTGCTCATAATTTTTGGTGATTATGCTGAAATATGCGTTCCAAAGCCGAGATACATTTTATTGTTCAATAAATATAATTTTGAGTTGGCACCTCTTGTTGTGTGTGGCGCGCACGCGGGGGGAAAATTGCTCATTTTCCAATTGAGATGTCTTACGGTTGAGGGAGTTTTTCCCGCCCCTGGGCGAGCGACGATGGGAAATCTTGGGGTTTTTTCCATTGAAATTCCAACTGTGTCGCCTGGGACATTCAGCGCCTTTTTGGACGTGTGCGGAAAATGAGATTTTCCCACCCACCAAACGGCACACAGAAATAATGAGAGAATTTAGCAAATTGATTCATGCTGAAGAATCACAAAAGCATCTTGTGAAAATCATTAAATTCAATATTCAAACGCCTATATTTTCCATATATACACCAATTTGCATATGAGAAGAGGTTGTGAATCAACAAGAGAGTCTCTCTCTCTCTCTCTCTCATTGTATAGTTTGGTGAAATTTTGCATTCCTCAGCTGAAGGAGTCGAATTTGCCGGGGGAAATTGTGCTCAGCATAGTTAAATAAGAAAAAAAAAGAATGCAGAGCGTCAGCAAATTTGTGCCATGCAATGCAAAAGTGTGTGAATTTTCACACTTTTATGCTCTTGCGGAGGAGAAAGAAAAAAAAGGATAAAGTCAAGAAAGCTCTCGTATTTCATCCTGGCCAGAGATGACATAGAGCCATTACCATAAATCACAAAGTGTGTGTATTTGTTTTCCGTCTGCTGAAAGCAATTTCCAACTCACAGCCATTGAGAGACAAGCTTCGCTGGCACACCATCGACACTGTGCCCTGGATGGGATCCTTCCCAGGGATTCAGCACTCCGTGAAATTTCCGATAATTGAAAATTTACCCAAAAATACCTCCTAATTAATTCATGGGTGGATAATGAAGAGAATTAATTAGAAAGCCTCAGAAGGTTGATAAATCAAATTCTGGAAGCCCGTAATATTCAAATATTAATTCTTTTTTGTGCCTGAAACCTTTGAAAAGCGACATTAGAAAGAATGATAATTGGCTAAATTCAATTTGATTTTGCTAGAAAGATGAACAAGAAAAGTTAAATTCGATTTAATCTACTTCAATCTCTAAATTCGCTAAATTCCATCGTAAATTCAATATTTTTCTTATAAAATCATCAATGAGAGTGTGAAATTTTATGTGATAAAACATCCAATATTAAAGCTGTTAATTTCTGTTCGCGACAAAGTTTTGAAATTATGGAAAAAATTCTTTGTTTTTAGTCTTAGAAACTAGGAATAAAATAAGAATATTCTCTTCTTAATCTGTTTTCTTAATGTGTTTTGGTGAAAAAAAAGTAGAATTGAAGCAAATCTTTGGAAACCTCTTTTTAGATTAAAATGCTGAAAAAGACTGGAAATTATGTCGAGAAAATACAGAACAGCTTCATTTATAGATTCAAGAATATAATATTTTTCTGCAGTAAAGTAAAATAAAGGGAGAATTGTCCGTGATCAGTCATATTAATATTGCCAGAGGAAAGAAAACACAGTTGCAAAATTTCCTAATGGAAACATTTCCGCTACATTTCGCAAAAATCTTCGAGACCCTGGAAATGTTCGAGGGCGTGAAACATGGGAAGGAGTTGTGACTGAAACAATCCTTGTTTGCTGCGTCACATTCACACAATTTCCCGGCATTTGGTCGTCCATTTTTGTGGGTGAAACGCAGAGGGGGAAAGCAGCTTCCAAAAGGGAGCACACAAGACGTAAATTAGAGGGTTTCAATTGCTGCCACACGGCGAAAATTGCTTTCACGTATCCCAGAATCCCAGATTTCCTCCCTCATCCTTTACATGTCTCAGCAAGCATTGCGGAGTCTTAATTCTTGTGGTATTTCTCTCTTTCTCTCTCTTTCGACAGTTCGGCAGGAAAATGAGCGACTCATGCAGGAATCCCTGAATCGGGCCAAATTCGCCAAAAATTTCACCGATGCTGCTTCTCTGACTGCACAAGAGGAAATTCCATAACGATGCTTTGAATTCTTCCGCCAGCATTCGCGCTGCCAGCGAGTCTCCGGCATGGCGTGGTGGGCGCTCCTCAGCTGGATGGGGAGCGCGAGTAAGAATTCATTACGCGGCAGTTGATGAGTCTTCGACTGCACGGCGGAGTTGCGGCGGTATTTGGGCGGCCCGAGGCGGCAAATCCTTTTTGCCAGCCCAAATGCCTTCGCGCGCACGGAGAATCCTGGCCTCCCCCGCGTTCCAGCTGCAGACGCGCTGGATGACGAGAGCGACAGAGTCTCCCGTCATCAAAGGGATGTTCATTGTTAGATAGAAAACTGCATTCATATCGCGCTCTGTGTCTCTCTCTGCAGAAGGGAAAGCAAATTACAAATTCGTGAGCTCGGGGTTCATCAATTTGCCCCGCGAGTGCTGCCAGGTTTCGCTGTGAAATTGAAATTTACGCGCAATTGCACACTTAATAAGGTAACCGTGTATTAGATGAGGTTTAGCGTTTAATCGCCGGAGAGAAAGCGCCGCATTGAGGAAGTCAAAAGGCAAACTTACACTCTATTCCCACAGCAAATTTTCTCCACACAGATTTTCGCTTGAAATCCTTTATTTCCTCTCGCGACTTTTAATTCAATAAGCTGTCTTAAACACTCTTCTGGGAAATTGTTAGCCATCGGCAAATGGAAAACTATTGACAATCGAACAAATCCTTTATGTGTTGGCCAGAAAGCTTGCAAGAAGTCTATTTTGTATCGATTTAACTGCTAAGAAGTTATGTTTTCAATATCTATTCAAGTCATATTCTGGAAATTTTACCTTCGCAATGCAAATTTATTTGCAATATTTGTTAAATTAGAGCCTCAAATCCTTTCCGGGTCCTTAAAATAAACAACTAGAGAATATTTGCTATCTTTTGAATACCAGAAATGTCTTCAAAGTGTTGAAATTGAAAATCTCTGCAGCATTAACGTAGGCATTGACACATTTTGCGCAGAGAAATGAAAGATTCTTGTATTTGAAAGCATTTATTGGCAATAAATACATATTTTCGGATGTTTATTGACCACTAGAAGACTGAAAACCATGAAAAATTTGGATAAATTGCTCAAAAATAATATTTTCGCAAACTAATTCTCAACTTTTCATGAATCTCTTAACTTTCAATTCGATATTTCTGTAAAAATCGACTAAAAACCGGTTTTTTTGGGTATCTTTTCCGACCATAACCCTAAAATATTTCTCAATAAATATCGATTGAGTGCACGGCATCGTCGAATCGATTGATATATCGAGAAATCGAGTTTTGGTCACGTAATTTAAACGTCTTGCAAGTCCCATGTGTTGGTAAGTTTGTAGCCACGCCCACTCCAATGCTCCGCCTGTAAATAGCCTTGCGAATAGTTTTACACGTTGAAAAATGTAAAAAATAGTAAATATAACTTTCAATTCAGTTCTTTATTGTTCGTTAAATAATTACAATACATAATAACACCTCATAAGCAGCTAGAATGGAAGAAGGATATTCTAAAGAACTTCAAGCAGCCCTAAAAACTGCACAAAGGAGTGAAATTGATGAACCTCTGCTGACTTTTCTCTCACACGTGCGCAAAGATCATGAATGCATGAAATCGCTTTGTAGGCCTACGCCAATGAATATTTTGTACTGTTGTATTAACAATAAACAGAAAATACACGTTAGCTTGTAAGGACAACAAAGGACACTAATGCAGAATAGAGCAGCAAAGCTGAATAAATTGTTGGTCATTATAAAAATGTTTGTGTGATAACGAAAGATGAAGAAATGTTATTTGTGTTTATATATTTTTTGTAATAATGGAACAGTTAGTTAAATTGATGTGTTTTTAGCTTACCACAAAAGTGAAATGAAGTTCTTCATGATCACGTTGATGATTTTGTGAATAGAAATCTCGGTCCGAAAGCATTTCTGATTTCATTTTCAATTGTGACACTTTTGGACGTGTGTGAGAGTATTATGAAATTTTACCAGCAAATGTGCTGGAGAAAAAGGATGAAGAAATGCTTTCTGAAGATTACACACGAAAGCTAATTAGTGGTAATTGAACAGAGAATGGAATTAATCATTCAGTGAGTTTGAGAAAATGAGGCGGAAAATAAATTTACGTTCTGTTTTCACACATAAATCCCGACTCCGAAGTAATAAATAGGCAACAATCTACACATGTTAGTGACTTGTAAATAAAATTAGTTAAATCCTGAAAATTAGAAAGGGGTGCAGAATCGAATAATGAGACATGTGCGTCGCTGAGAAGATGTTTAAACGGGTAAAGAAAAAATTGTAAGATTATCCATTCAATTAATTCTTGTCAATTTCCATCTCAAAGTAACAATTTTTACAAAAATCAGACAGAAATAGTTAGAAGGCAAAATGATTGAAAAAAAAATCCTCTGTCTCTGCAATATTTTGCTTTACTCAGAAACTGAATAAAATGAATGCCTTTTAACCGGACATGATCAAAATCTCCTCCATGTTTCAGTCACTAGAAACGGTTTCTTAATGTTAAAAGAAAACACATTAATTATATTCTCGAGAAAAGTGTTGTAAATTTTCCGCAGTAAGATGAGATTTGTTAGAGAAAGAAAATCATACCGATTTAATGCGCTTAATAGAAGGAAAAAATATACCAAAAAAATAATGGCAGAATTGATAAGAAAATAACATTTGTCATTTTTGAAGAAATTGACATTTGAGTGTTTTATTATGTACAAAAAAGGAGGAAATATCAAAGAAATCAAATCCATTTTGAAGATAGAGTGAAGAAGAATAAAACCTACAATGTAATCACATTTAAAATTATCTCAAAGACAAATCATAAATAACAAGTATTTAATGATCTATTGTAATCCGGCGAAAATATTTAGATAAACATAAATAGAAATCCGACAAGCTTTGAAGTTCTAAATCAATTTTTACTTAAAAAAAAGAGAGAAAGAAAAACATACACAAACACATTGTATATAAAATAGTTGACAAGCATTTATATTAAAGAAGAAGAGAAGAAAAACAAATAATAATTAGAGAAAATAACTTATCAATATTTGGGGAAGCATTTTCCGAAGAGGAAAAAATAAGAAGGAAAAGAAAAAACACCCAATTGACCCGCAATTAACCAAACATAAAAGAAAAAAAAGTTTAGACAAGAGATTTAAAAATAGCACAGTGAAGAACAAAATGGAATTGAGTGTGTTTAGAAACGTGTAGATTATTGAATAATTAAGATAATAAATTGGAGGTGAAATCAAGTAAAAAAAAAACGATGTTTAGTGACCATTTTACAGGGTTAATAACTAAAGAAGCTAAATGTACATTAAATACCAGAGCAGATGTGGTGTGTGGTATCGAAGAAAAGCGCAAAGAAATTATTAGGAGAGAAAACAAGAAATTAGAGAAATAATCACTTTGTGTAAATAATCGTGAAATTGTCAGAAGAAAAAACATTGTTGTTCCCTTTTTTCTGGTTTTGCAAAAAGGCCAACACACCATAAAACTGTAGCCCAGTGAAAATCCCAGTGAGAAAAGGAAAAAAAAAACTTATCATGAAAAGACAAATCGAGGACGAGGCAGAAAAAAAACAGTGAATCGAAAGCGTTTTAGAATGAAGAAAATGAGTGAAGAAGATTTACTAGAAAAAAAAAATTGAGAAATGACATTATATGAATTAATCGAAATATACGTATGTTGTTGATGAAATTATATGAAACAAAAAAAAATGCAAGAGTATGAGAAGAAAGAAATAAATAATATTCCATGGTTAAAAACCGTCGTTTTCCCTTTTGAATTGGCCGAAATGTCCCACATTTTTCGCGCGCAACAGTTTTGCCACACTTCGCAGACCGGCCACCAGGTGTGCTGGTGCTGTGACACTTTTGCTGTGACTTTCACGCGCACCGCCAGCCGTCTCGCTCTGGCGCCATGTCAGCGCGTGCAGTGGACAGAGATGGCGCGCGTCGTGCTGTCGCACTCGCGTCGTCTCTCTCTCTCACCCAGTGCAAGTGTGTGTGCGTGTGTGCGATGTCGAGAAGTGAGCTCCTCTAAACAGCCAGCAGCAGAAATAAAAGTGGACAAGAAATTTCCTATTCAGTGGTGAAAAAACACAATAATATTGTTTATTTGGTACGCGACCAAACAGATACCGTGTGGCCATTTAACCAGAGTGTCGTAATTGTGTGCAAAATCATCGAAGAGGCCAAATGGAGAAGAGAATAGATTTGGAAAAGCGAGGAAGGCCGGCGTCGCAGGTGAGTTTCAACTACGTTTTTCCGCCACCCGACCAACTGAGGCCCTCTCGGCCTGGGCTGCCGAGGCGCCCCTCGGGGGTGATTCCCCGCATTGTCCCACCGCCTCGGCCCCTCAGCGTGCGCCCCGCGGCTTCGGGGGCCGCCAAGTCAACCCCTTTTGCGTGCCATTGCGGCCGTCCTTTTCGCCAGCGTGCGCCAAAGCGAGAGAAAATGTTCGATTTCTAATGGTGGCATTTTCAATGCCACCACCAAGAAGTCTTCCAGACCAGCCACAGTGGCCCGCGCGGCGGGACCTCCGCGGCCAGCGGCCCTCTGTGCGTGTCACCCACGCCTCAACCTTGGCCGAAAGGCCCCAGCCAGGCGTGGAAAGGTGCCCTGGCCGAGACGCGTGGACCGCTGGTTCCGAAATTGCGCCATCTTCGCGCGATCGTCCCAGAGTGGGACAGAGCGTCACCCAGCGCCCCCTCCTCGGCCCACCCGCGATCCCCGCCGCAGGACGATTCCGCCGTGTCCGCGAGACGTGTCCCCCAGGGGCTGCGGAGCCCATCGGAAGACCTGTGTTGCCCATGAAAATTTCAAACCCGCCATATTGGGCTACATTGTGGACGCACACACACACACATGTGCAGTGGTGTTGGTGCCAAAGAGGCGCTCAATCGCCAATTTGTTGATGGCCATGTTTATAAGCTGATGAATAATGAGCTTGCTGCGCGTCCCGTGTCGCAGGAAGTGGGGGCCCGTCGCGATCTCACCCGACAACCGCCCGACACACGCCAGTCTCTCACCCCCCTCGGGGGGCCACCCCGTTGTCAGCAGCCGAAACACACCGTGTGTGACAAAACATGGAGCGATAGTGGCGCTGCTGAACGGCATGTGAGCGAGAAGGACTATACATATTTTCAAATAAATTCCGAGTAAACAATGCCTTCACACCGCATTCCGCCACTCACACTTTCTCCCTGTGCCGGAAATTGGGGCTGGAACACCCCCAAAATCATGCCCCAATTCCTCAAGTGTGGCGCCCGAGATTTGCCAACAATGTGGCAAAAGTTGGTGGAAAAATGCGCTGTTGCATTTTGCCCATCTCCCTCACGCACACGCAACTGGGCCATAGTGACAAAGGGGCGACCGCCTCCCTCTGTCTCCCTCTAGTGTCTCTCGCTATGCCGACACAATGCGCGTACAGCGAGTGTCTCGCGTGTGTGTGTGTGTGTGTGCTCACGCTGCCCAACACATGTACACCGCCTGTCGGCCATGTTCGAATTGCGACGTTTCGTAATGCTTCCTCACGTCCGCCATTGTGGTGAATGTCAAAAAATCCAACACATTTTCACAGTTTTTGGATATTTCGAACCATGCCACAGCCATAAATAACCATTTAAGTATGCCGATGGTTGTGGGGCCATATGTTGAGCACTATTTTACTGTCTAATGTGCACTTGGAGTGACTCAAAAATCATTGGGGGTGGTTAAACGGGAACTAATGGCTTCAATGAACGCGAAAATGCGACTAGTTTGTCGAATTGGTGTATTTCACGAGATGAGGTGCCATTTCGCACCACCACATCTGCGCGCCGTGGCCAAGTGTGTGTGACTGATGGATGTGTCGTACTTTCGGGCAGAAAGAGCGCGGCCCTCTGCTGGCCGCTGAGGAGGAAGTGCGACTGTTGCGTTCTCACTTACAACATTTGGGAGGGAGAGAGACAAAAAATGGGCCTTTCCACTGCCTCTCGCTCACTCCACACGCAGAAACTTACCGCAGGGAAATTGAAAAATGATCAAAAGAAAACGATGGACGTGGCGACATCTTGCGACCAAACTATTAATTTGCTAAACTTTTGTCGGGGAATTTGAAATTATTTAATACATTTGCAGATCACCGAGCTTAATTTGGACAACTGCAGAAGTACAAATATCGTGGGCCTCAATGAAGAGTTTGTGAATCTGAAGCAGCTCAGTCTCATAAATGTTGGTCTCACGAGCCTCAAGGGATTTCCCAAACTACCAAATCTCAAGAAGCTCGAACTCTCCGACAACAGGTTGATTATTTGAAGATTTTTGCTTACAATCTTGCCAACTTGTGGCTCAAACACTGACTTTTGCAGAATTTCAAATGGCTTGAACTACCTGGAAGTGTCTCCGAACATAACACACTTGAACCTATCTGGAAACAGACTAAATGATTTGGATGCCTTGAAGCCTCTTGAGAACTTCAAACATTTAGAAGTGCTGGATTTGTTCAACAATGAGGTGACGGTGAAGGAGAATTACCGCGAGAAGACGTTCCAAATGCTCCCTTCGCTCAAGTATCTCGATGGGTAAGGAAGTGTGTGGGATGATTTAGAGGGTTGATCTAGAGATTTGACAGCATTTCTTCTGTCTTAGGTTCGACTCCAAAGACATGGAAGCTCCGTCTGATGCTGATGACGACGAAGAGGTCAATGGATACGCAAATCCGGACAATTATGAGGGTAAGTGGCGATTTTTCACTAGACAATCCTTGGAGATCTGGATCAGTGTTTGAAGTGGTGACTGACATGTCCTAGGATAGATCCTGTGACGTCCCCTAAGTCACAGATGTGTTTGTTGAACGGCGTGAGTAACTTTGAAACACTGATCTTGATTTCTGTCTTGTGGATTCTGAATCCAGTAAAGCCTGAATTGGCAAGAAGATTAAGAGGCTGGGGAGAGGTGTGTGCAAAAGCGAGAGTAACCGAGAGTGATGAACTGTGGTTACAGATCAAGATGCCTTCAGCATTGGGGGTCTGGAAATAGATTTGAAGGAGTTGGCGCTCTTCGAGAAGCACCTCGAAGAGAAGCGCGCCAAAGAGCCGGCCAAAGAGATGAAGAAGAGGTGTGAAGAAGCCAATGAGCCTGATGAATTAGATGAATATTTAGAGAAATTGAAGAGTGACGAGAGGCAACGACAGGAGTGTCGCAGAGAGGAGAAGCGAGTGACTTTGCTCACTCTATTCTTTGCCCTCTTGGCCATTCTGTCTCTTGGGAATTTAGTTTTTCGTGAGGAAATTGCCTCAAATGCAACGACAAAAGGTGACTTTCTTTCTGGAGCAAATTCTGCTGCGCAACTCAAAAGTGATTTGCGGAGTTGAGAGAATTGACAAAATGTCTTGGTTTCTTGCAGGATCCGGCGAGAGTGGCGAAGAGGATGAGGACGACGATGAGGATGACGAGGATGAGGATGATGAGGAGAAGTGAGTGTGTTTTTCTCATGTCTTAAGAGCTTTTTTCACATGATTCTTTTGGTGCCTTCGCAGCGCTGATGATGACGACAACGGAGATGTGTCGCTGTCTGAGGTGTACAACGACGATATCGAGGAGGATAACTCAGACTGGAATGAGGAGAACGAGGAGGCTGGGGAGGAGGGCGATGATGATATAGATTCCGATGAGGACGCAGAAGAAGGAGCCCAGCAACCCAAAGATGGCGAAGAGGACGGAGCAGCAGCGGCTCCAGCTGCGGCAGAAGGTAAGAGATTATTGCGAGACACTTAATCCTTGAGGCGTCGTTGTAACTTTACTTTCGTAACATTTTAAATAATCTGTCAAAGTTTATTAATTGCAGATTCATAACATTTACGAAAGTTGAGAATTTATTTATGCAAGATCTGAAACGTTTCAAATTCATGTGAAAACCAAGAAAATAGACAGTAATTATGTGTTTAGGTTCATAAACACAATTTGATTAGATTTATCTGGCCATTTCCGGACGTTTTTTTAGCCTAAGAAACTGATAGAGGTAAAATATCACAGCAAGAACATCTTTTCATCTTCATGGTCAGCAGAATCCTTCAAGAAAGAAACAGTTTGACTGTGTTGAATTCATTCTTCGCATTAAAAAACAATTCCTGAGAGTTCCTTGAGAATAATTTGGGTAAAAAAACACCGAAAAATACGCTTCGTTTACGCTGAAGAACATTTTTTTGACTTCCACGTGGAGGAAAATGGCCAGAAATTGGTTGAAAGTTGGAATATTCTGCTCTAAAAACACAATTCAAAAGAGAAAATCTTGCACAGAAATGACTTTGACAGCTTGAAATTCGTATTTAGTATAAAGTCACATATCAAATTTGTAGTTTTTACGAACAGAAGTACAAAATGTGTAAAGTTGCAACGACTTTTTAGTTAAATCTTGTGATTTCTTGCTTAGGATTGTAACTTAAAGTCAACTCATGTTGGGCAATTTGCTTGGCTCTTTCAGAGGAATCCCCAGCCAGAGGCAAAAAGCGGAAGCACGACGGCTAAATAACACTTTTGCAGATTGCATCACACCCCCAACTTGTAGCATTTTAATTTTTTCTTTGTACAATTTTTTGAGTTACTAGATTTAGGTGAGATTTAAGTGAGAAAAGGAAACAAGAGCGAAAGTGAGCGGCAACGGAGGAAAGGAAGGATTTACACACACACACACTTGATTACAGAGAAAAAGAAAGAAATCAATTAAATAGCGCTTAGAGAGGAGGGAATAAAGTGCAGAAATAATCCCAGGATCTTAAATTTTCACTGAATTCTACTTGTCATTCAGCCGACAGGATGAGAAGAAAGTGTGTTTGAGGGTGGATTCGATGATAGGGAGTAAGAAACATTTGATCATATCGTTTTTAAGGGGAATATTTGCCATCAGAAGTTTGCTCTCAGTTTCGTTTATATAAATCGCTATTCTCTGAATTAATTTGCAAGATGGAAAAAAACTGACTATTTTTGGATATAGTTTTTCAAATACCTTTTGCTTTCAGATTGATATTTTCTATAGTTTAATTCGTCGTTTTTATTTTTTTTTGTTAGAGAATGTAGAAATCCATTATTTTTGTTGTGAACTATTTTGCAAAGTAGCGCGTTTTTTCTTCGGCATTTCTTGTGTCTGTCAATTGATATCAATTTTCTTTTCACAATATTATTCCTTCTAATCCCTTTGAGAAGCAGAATCGAAGTTGAGTGGAAAAAAGGAAGACAGAGAGAAAACTTTGCCGAAGAGAGAAAGAAAAAGTCGTAGGAAAAAAGTACATTAAGGTTTCATTTGAATGTAAATAAGCACATTTGATAAACACACTGGAAGATTGCATTTGATAATAAAATTAAAAAAAAAGAGATTTTCTTTCGAATCAGAGACATTCAAAGAAAAATCTAATAAGGATAAATTACACTTTTAATCACAAGTTTAATTATAGATTTAAACAAAACAATACAAAAATATCCTTTCATTTTCGCTAAATAAAAAAAATAAATGTGCGATTGTGAGATTATTCGATAAGATTTTTTTTCTTAGTTTGATAAACTCTTCAGAACCCATAAAGAAAGCAGCAAAAAAATATCTTTCACAAAAAACTCACACACACACAGAAAATCCTTTTTGAGTAGAATTTAGAGGGTTTTGATGGAAAGATTAAAGCCGATAAAAAAGAGAGGAAAAAAATAGTAATTAATAAAATAAATCATGAATGAGGAAAATTTCTTGTTGCAATGTAATGAGAAGAATTTCATATATTTTCGATATATTTTGTATATATAAAAAGAAATTATTAAATTAAACAAATCTCTACAAAAAAAGTGTCATTGCAAGTGGAAAAAAACATTCGAATTGATTCTAAAAAAAAATTGAAAGAGTTTTTAAACAATGTGGGAAAAAAAGCTGCAACAGGAAATTTTTCGAGAAGTAATCAAAGCAAAAAAAATGCAGAACACATTTTTATATTATCTTATATAGTAAAAGAAGATGAAAAAGGATGAAATGTGAGAGAGAAAAGGGGAATTTTCTCTCAAGATGGTTCAATAAGAAAAGTATATATTCTAATACAACATAAAAATATATATTTATTTTATGATTGTAGCCAAGTAAGTGACGTTAATTGGGTTTTGATCCTTCTTTTTTAATGTTAGAACGAACCACAATTCTAATTCATATTAACAGTTTATTGACTAATTACTTGTATTTTAAGATTACAAAAAAAATATTATATATTGAGAAGATTGAAAACACAAAAAGTAACATTGTAAAGTTGTTTATAAATGTGTAAAAGAATGTTTTCTCTTCAAAAAAAAAATGATGAAAAAAGAACCCAATTTTCCTTTATTTTTTCCTTTTGAAATTCACAACACAAATAATTTTTGATCCTTGTTTTTCTTCATCGTGGGGAACAAAAAAAAATCTACACAGAATAGAAATTGCATCAAAAATATATGAGAAAAAAAAATAGGAAAAGACATAATGTTGAGAGAATAAAGAAAAAATAGATATCAAAGATTTATCTATAAAAAAAAGTCCATTTTATCGATAATTTTATTCCTCAAACTTATGATAAATATATCTTCAATATGTTTTATCTCTTCTTTCATGTACATTTATTATATATTTTAGTATTTTGACAATAAAAATGAGAAAAAATGCAGCCTTTCGTCTTTTGGGAAGTTTTTCATGCTTTACGATTTATGAATTTTTAGAAAACTCTTTATCTTTTCTACTGCTAAAAAAGTAAATTTAGTATTTTACGGGGAAATTGAAAGAAAAAAAATAATGGAACAAATTTTCAAGTTTTCAAAAAACGTCTCTTTGTTGAATTGTCGGTCAGTTCTTCCTTATATCGACAATTATCGATACGAAATGCATTAAATTTATCATTTTTTACACTATTTTAGGGGAAAACTCGACTGATTTGGACTAATTAATCCTCAAACCGTCGATTTTATCTATTTTACCCCTAAAATTGTATTATAAAAGAAAATTTACAAATTCGTATCGATAAGTTTCGGCTTTGGGAAGAACTTTATAGATTTTGAGGGAGAATATTTGGCTTTTTTTATTTTTAACTTAAAAACATTGCAAAAAGTTAATGAGAAATATGAAAATTTGATATTTTACAACTCATTTGAGTAAAATATTCTCCAAGACTAAGTAAAATCGAAGAAAGAACTATTTTCAAATTTTCCTCCCGTTGAAATCAATTTTCCTTCGATTCCTTCGCTTTTGCCTTTGTTTGATCGATATTTAACATAAAACACACAAAAGCTTAGAATGTTCTGGGGCTGGAGCGAAGCTGTGAATCTGGTGGAGAAGTGGCAACAGTACGCCAAGGATCAATCTCTGCCCGGAGACTTCAATGTCCTCCTCTTCGGTCCAGGAGATCCGCGCCACATCCTGGCCGTCTTGGCGAAATCTCACTGTCTTCCGGCGGACGCGAAAGTGCATTTCTATCTGCTGGACAGTTGCATGGAGCACGTGGCCAGGAATCTGCTGCTGCTCACCGTGGCTCTGGAGGACGGCAGAGAGATGTCCCTGCGCGGGAAGACGCACCTCTTCATGGACATCTTCGGCAACAGTCATTTGCGTCCTTCGTCCGCCAATTACATCCGCGCGCGCAGCAAGTTTCTCATCAAATCTGTGACTGACAGTGAATTTGCCAGAGAACACCTGCCCTTGGTGAGTCTGGAGAGGCTGAAGTACCGCAAGAGGGATCAACTGGAGGCCACAATGAGTTTCTGGACAGCCGACGGAACGCCCTTTCCCGTGCAAACGCTGTGGAATGCGAGATTGAGGGAGAATTTGGGCCAGAGATTCGACTATCGAAGCGGAATGTTCGATTGGGATCTTCAGATGCAGCTGAAGGATCGCGGAGCTGGTCAAATCTGCCCTCAGGAGTACTCAAGTTGGCGTGAAACTGGAGTGGCTTTCGTGTTTCCCGAATTCGAACAATCCATCCCGAACAAGACGCTCGCGCTGAAGCATCAGCAGCGGAATCAGTGGCTCTTCCTGGGCGACATGACTTCTGGGCCATTCATCGCCTTCGGACTGACGTGTGCGGATGAGAAGATGCTGAAATCCCAGCACGGAGTCAATGATTATCGCGCCACGGATGTCACTGAGAGGAATCTCACTGAGATATTCTTTGAGATGCTGGAGAAGAAGCCTTTCAGCGCCTCTCCGCAGGATTCTCATCGCTTCGGCGCGGCCACAATCCAGCCAGGAGTTATTCTTCCATCATCCGGACTGGGAAAAGACTCCAGAATCAGGGACAATATGAATTCCCTGCTAAGATTTTCCAACATTTCTGTGACTTTTCTCTCTCCGGATGATGTAAAACGTTTTCTCACGCGAGCAGATCTTCAGGAACACTTTTCAGTGATTTTCGTGGGTCAGAATTTCTTCCCCTGCTTCACGGGAGAGTTTATCCAGACACTGCACAGAGATGGAGTGATTCTCTTCGAGACCAGACGCTTCACGACCTTCCGGAAGGACAAAGTGGGGGAATTTAGCAGCCAAATCCGGGAATTTTCTGTGAAAAACTCCCTCAAGAGCGTCAATTCTTCATCAATCAATCAACACTACTCACTGTTGGTGTACAAAAAGGCATGAAAATAGAGAATAGAATTTATAATAGGCTTAAGAAGTGGAAGAAGCGATCTCTTTGAGCGGCTCCTCCAGGTACGTGGCCAGCGCCTGTGCCTTCTGGCTCAGCATCCCCAGGCCCACGCTCTCCTTGGCGTACAGGCACAGCAGCAAGTTTGCCACCTGCAAAGCCCAAAACAGTGAGTCTCCTGGCCACAAGATCCTCCGAATCCTCAGCATACCTGAATAATTGCAACGTTGCCGTTGTCGCACTGCAACAGAACCACTTGGAGGTGATCGTCGCTCCTTCTAAATGTATTCCGTCCATGTTTCTCGTACGCAGACCAGACGTTGCTGGCAATCGCAGCAGTTACCCGGGCATCCTTGTCGCCGTAGCCCGAGTACGCCAGGAGACTTCCCTCGTGATTCAGGAGGCTGGAAAGGAGGCGATCGGAAGTATAAGAATGCTCTTGACAGGGCGCAAAACACTGCCTCACAGTGTGTTCTCCACGCCGCCCGTGTTGGCCTGGCCCAGCACCTGAGTCAGCAGCTTGGGCCTCAGCATCTTTCCCACACAAATGGGAAGCGCAGGAGATTGGAAATTGTCCTGCAGACGTGAAAACAAAACAATCGTCACCTGTTAACCCGGCAGTCGATAAAACTCCTCTCCAACCACTTATTCGTACGCGTTGGCGAATTACGAGAATTTCTCCAGATTTGCTAATAATTCTGAAGAGAAAGTATTCTAGGCATTCTATGGATCTTTTTTCCTGTGTCAATTGAGGTGAAACAAATCCGAGGAATGCTGAAGAACCCTAGAAATAGATAATATTGCAGGAAAATGAATGAGCGCGAAAGTTGATAACTTCAACAGGGTTTCGACAAGTTGTTCCACAACACTTCGCCAGATGGCTGTACTGCAGCGAATGAAAATTTACCAAACCGAAGTTTCTGCTGCACATTTCCACATTACACTAATAATTTTAATTATTTAATAAAAGCAAATCAATATTAATTTTTCAGTGATTAGATCAACTTTCCGTGCATTTTCTTAATCGTGATTTATCGATGAAGTGTGAAGGAATGAACTATAATTTTCTGTGATTTATTCAAATACGCATGGAAGATGACTGAAATTGTTGATTTTTCCGAATAAATGGGCAGCTTTTCCAAGACTTCCCGTGAGATTTCAAAAGAAATACAAGTTTTTCAGCTGCTGTAGAAGAAAATTTATTGATTGGAGCCCAAGTAATTCTGGGAAACACAACAGTGTCTGAGCGGCAAATTTGAATGTGGCGCAAATGAACGGCGCTGAAACTTCAGTGTGGTGACGAGGAGAGTTTGTGTGTGGAAAAATATCAGGAAATTAATTAAATTAGAGAGAGTTGACAAGTCGCGAAGGGCTTTCGCAGTGAAAAGTGATCGCGGAGTGGCCAAGTGTGGCGTGTGAGTTGCGAGCGTGCGTGAGTGGCGGTGCGTGAGTGCGCTGAAGGCGTACGTGACCTAAAAAGCGGAGTGTATTTGGTGTTGCGGAGAGAAGTACGCCTTTTTCTCTTGGCGTTCCTGCCTCTCCATCTCCCTCGGCGCCAAAGTCTCCGCCGCTGGGCATTCGCGGCCGCTTTGGGGACCGTGCAAGGGGGCGCTCGTGCCGTTTGCGTGCCGCTGGGGCGCCGCCCGGGAGCGAGCGGGCGTCTGGCGAGTGGCGTTCCGCACTCAGGCTGTCAATGGTGTTTACAAATTTTCTTATTTGTGTATTTATGTCATCTGCCGAAGGTGCGCGAGCAGGACGCGCGCATCGGTGAGCATTGGGCGCCAGTGTGAGTGCGAGCGAGAACGCTCCTGGACGCCTCAGTGGAAGATTCCCGTGCCAGGAGAGCCCGAAAGCCGTGCGAGCGCGCCTCCTCGCCTCCTCCGGACGGTGCGTGTGCGTGAGAAGTGCGGGGAAAAAGGGGAGAAGCGTGCTGTGCTGAGACGACAGGGAAAATTTTCCAAGGAATCACATCAGCAACAGACGCGCCATTGGAAGTACAGTGAGTGGCAGAAGGACGCGGACGTGCGCCGAAGGGCGCGAAGAGAAGTGTCGTGAAGCTGTAGAATAAATCCAGCGAGAAAGCCTAAGAAATAGATGGTTTTGAAGCTCTTCGCACTCTTCAAGAGAATTCGGTAGAAGAGCAAAAGTCCAGTAGAATTAATTGCCGTGCGCGCACACTCTTGCCCGCCACTGTACTTCTCTCAATGGATCATCTCGTGAGTGTGTAGTAAATCTCTCTTATAAATTCTCTCACAGTTGACAGATTACGCGCGCAAAGTGAGACAGTTTTTCATCTCCCTCCCACACGCCGAGCGGACAATGTAAGGCCGCCGCGAGGGTGAATTCCAGTGTTTAGCGTTGTGTTTGGCCAAATGGAGCAGGACTCTCAGGTGGCGCGGCCCGCCGAGCCGCCGCGGATCAGTGAGAAGTCCCCGGCCGCCGATCCGCAGCCCTCCTCGTCGTCCGGCCAGTCGCTGAAGTCTGAGCCGGAGCGCGGTGACTTTGTGCCTCAGCCGTCGTCCAGCACGTCGCCGGCCGCCGGCGAGGCGCCGAAGCCGGAGGAGGAGAAGCGCGACAAGCACAAGTCGCCGTCGTCGGCGAAGCGGGAGGACGTGAGGTCGTACGCCAACGGCAGTCTTCAGCCGCCGACCGGCGGGAAGCCGCTGATGGCGGCGCTCACGAAGAAGCTGTCCAAACCGCGCGGAAGACCAAAGCGAAAGGCTCTCGTGAAGATGTACCAGAGTGAGGTGAGACTCGATCGACTTTGGCTTGCAAATTCCCTTCATTCACTCGATTTCTTTTCTCTCTCTTTTTGCAGATCAGTGACAACAAGTTGGGCATAAAGTTGTGCATTAAGAAGTCAGAAACGCCGCCCGCCATCAAGCAGAAGAGCAGCCGGAAGCGGTCACGCAAGTCGAAGGCCAGGAGAGCCTCGGACAGCGATGATTCGGACTATGAGAAGCGGCGGCGGAAGGAGTTGATCAAGCAGCGTGCGAACAACAACACGGACAAGGCGAAGGAGGAGGCGGAGTTTGTGGAGCCGGAGGAGCAGAGTTGCTGGGGCGCCACGCTGCCCAAGAACGTCCTGCACACGATCTTCCTGTTTGCCGTCCAGGAGGAGGGCTGTCTGCCGACGCTGATCAATCTGGGGCGCGTGTGTTCGCTGTGGCACGAAGTGTCGCTCAATGCGGCGCTCTGGCACACGCTGGACTTGAGTGCGTGGGTCAAAGATCGCTTCAAGACGGAGCTGAAGCTCAAGTGGTTCATCGACAATCGCTTCAGGGGGTGTCAGGATGTGAATGTGAGCAACTGGAAGGTGACAAATGTGCAGTGTGTGCTGGAGAAGATGGTGGACACGTGCCCGAATCTCGTGGGCATGACATTGGCTGGATGGAAGTTCCTCCTGTGCGATCATCTCAGCTATATTGTGGAGAACTTCAGGAAGCTGGAGCGATTGGATCTGAGTTCGATTAATCTCGAGGCCAATGCCAACAAGACGGCGGTCGGTTTCACGTCCCTCTGCAATGCCATACAAGGACTCAATGGGCGATTGACGCATCTTCTGCTGGCGCACAACAAACTCGGCGCTCTGCCGCAAATCATCACGGCGCTGGCGGTGAGTATTTTGGGCTGTTTTGGCCGGAAGAGTGATTGATTGTCTCTGTTCCCCTTCGCAGACCCACTGTCCGAATCTGGTGCTGCTGGATCTGTCCAACATCTGCACACTGGCCATGTCGCATGCCATCCTGCACATTGAGAAGCTGCAGCACGGCTGCCCGAAGCTCAAGGTGCTCCGAATAACCAATGCCCAAATCACACTCAGTCAAATTGGTCTGCAGGAACAGGTAAAGAGTAACACAGTGATGTTGTGCAGCATTTGTAAGACTCATGAGGACTTTTATATCCCGCAATCAGATGGAGTCGCCGGGATTCCCAGATCTGGAGGAACTCAGCGTTGCCTCGTTGGCGGAATCGCGCCTCATCAATGATGAATTCGTGCAGAGAATCCTCAAGTCAAGTACAAAACTCAAGTTGCTGGACGTGAGAGGTTGCGCCAGACTCACACACGACAGTCTCATCAGACTGCCCGCGTGGGATCTCAAGCATCTCTTCCTCTCGGGATGCTCAGTGACGAGAGATTACGGGTAAGAAATGGTCTCTTTGGTCAGTTGACTAAACCAAATCTTCAGAGTTTTGATGTTTCAAATTTTGTGGGGCGGAAACTTTGTGTTCCTGAAAACAATATTAAATAAATTATATGATATAAATACCTCGTTTAGGTATTTATTAAGTATATTTCGACGGGTGAATCGATAACTATGAAAAGTTGATGTTTTTCATACTAAGAACTGCACTCAAACGCATAAAACGCATCTTTAATAAACATTAATTCATTCTAAATTTTCGAGATTTTCCTAAAATACTCTTAGACTGTATTTTGCAGCAATATTAATGCGAAATTCTCAATTTATAATTTTTCAATACTGAAAAATTACGATTTTGATTTTCCATCGTTTTCAATTCGCCTGTCAATATAATAAAATGAGTGTTAAGCCTTAGTTTAACTAAGAGTGTTAAAATAAGAGCGTTTCTACTTCACTGTTTCACACTTTTGCAATGAAAACACACAATTTGTCTAATGTTCTTGCTGAAATTTGATATTGTAAGTCGAGAATTCCCTTTACCAGCCGGCAAAACACCAAGTCCTGTCTAATTAGTATCCCTGGAGAGTTTGTGGCGGGAATGCCACTATCAAGGCGGCCTTCTCCTCCTGACGAGATTCTCGCTGCTAGCATTATTTGACGGGGCGACGCGGAGAAATGCGCGAGTCTCCAATATTGATCCGCTTTTCCATTCGCCATTGACAATCTTCATAGAATTATGCCCTAAAAGATCCTTAAAGGCTGAGCAAATGGAAGATATTTGTCTTGTTTTTTAGTATTCTGAGAAGTTGTAGAAAAAGGAAGGCTTTGGGGATAATTTTGGGTGTGAATATTGAAAAGGGCGGCCAATAAAGTGCCTTAAAACTAATCCAACATTTCGGCTGACTTTTACAGTTCCGGTCTGGAGTTGATTGCTTCAAAGTGGGCGCACAGCTTGACTGAGATCGATCTGGCCTGGGCGAATGTTCAGGGGCCGCTGGACAATGCTTTGAAGGCGTTGGCGGAGAAGAAGACAGAATCTCCTCTCAGGTGAATTTCCTTGATTAATTGCGGGGTGGAATAGAAGAATAATGCTGACATTCTTGTTGTGTGCATCTTTTCAGCCACTTGAACTTGTGTGGATCGTCAGTTTCCTTGGAGGCTGTGAAGGAGATCCTGAGCAATTGTCCAATCCTCAGCTCAATCAACCTGTCGTCGTGCCGCGGACTGCCGCGGGGCTTCAAGCGGCTGCTCCAGGGCCCCACGGAGATAACGGAGCTGCGGGAGAATCTCGGTGCGCCGCTGCAAGTGGTGAAAAAGGAGGAAAGTACATTGGACTGAAGTGAGAGAGACAAAAAGAGAAAAAGTGCAAAGAATGCAATCTAATGGCAATTCTGAGTGTGTGAACACGCTAAAAAATCACGAGCCGAGTGTACAAGAGTGACTGCAAAAGAAAAGAGCGTCTGACTCTGAGGAAGAAGAAAGAAAAAACCCAGGAAATCGTGCGTGAAAGACAAGAGAGAGAGAGAGATTGAGTATAGAAAAGTTTCTGCAAGTTTTTAGTGTACGTTTGTATGGTTAATAAGATGAATTTTAGTGAAGTAAAAAAAATCGATGAGGAAAAATGTAACACAAATTGATTGAGGAGGAGAAGAAGAAAAAAACAACACATTTTTACACAATTGTATAATTATAAATAATTTTAAAAGAGAAAATCACACAAATAGAAAAATTTTGTGATAAAAAATAGTTGATGGAGGAACATTTTAGTGTTAAGAGAACAACAACAACAACAAAAACATTGTAAAACTAAGTTTAAGGTGAAATTCTTGTATAGAGAAAAATTTAATTTGGTGTTGCAAAGGTTGATTAACGACAAAAAATTTTAATGGCATGTGATAAAAAATCAATGGCAAACATTTGCTTATCTGTAAAATCACACACACAACTCTGAAAAATATTGGAAAAAAAACATGAATAAGTTTGAGAATTATTGGTACAAATTTTATAAATTGGCTTTTCGTGGGTGACAAAAAATTCTATTCGAATATAAGCTCCTGTTTTTTTCCCCTGAAGCGCAGCATTTTCTTGATCTCATTTCTTGTTTCTTGATTTTAATGGTGAAAACACAGCATTTGTAATTTGTAATTTGTCCGCGATCATCTCTTTCTTCCCCTCGCGTTTCGTGTATTTTCCTTCCTACTCTGTCAGCGTCTGACTCTGACATGTCGAGACAGCCACTGTGCGAGTAGGAAGGAAAATACACGAAACGCGAGGGGAAGAAAGAGATGATCGCGGACAAATTACAAATTACAAATGCTGTGTTTTCACCATAAAAAACAGATTTTCTATTCGAAACTCAGACATGTTCAATTGTTGACATGGTAATCAATCATCTTTTTCACCCGTTGACCAAAATTAATTTAGGTAGTGAAGCAAATAATTTGACATGTTTTGTACACGTCAAAATTATACACGTAAAAACGGATTGTGTAATAATTCTTTGTGCGTAAATTGTGTTACAAAATGTAGAAGAGTTTTTTCTCTCTTTAACTGTTGTGGGCTTAATTTTTGTCGCATTTGCAAGAAATAATTCAGCTGATTAAATGCTTCGTGTATTTGTGAAGGAAAAAAAAGACAATTTTACTAAATTTCAAGCTACAAAAAAATGGAGAAATCTCAGTTGAATTCTGTGTTTTTGGTGTTTTCCAACTCCGAAATTGTCAAGTGAGAAGGATATTCTGTGGTACAAAAATGTCAAATTATTTACCATCGTACTTGTTGATCTTTTTCAATGTGACGTTGTAGGCTTAAAGCGAGAGAGAATATAAAATGTACAAAGAAAATATTTCCCCATTTATCTTACTAATTTTCTATTATATTTCTATAGTAAACTCTTCAAAGCAATTTCACCAATCTGACTTGTGTTGAGCCTTTTGTCTTGACGCAAAACTCAATTCTAAAAAGTATCTCATTCACAGTTTCTAAGAAGAAGAAAAAAAAGAAAAGATTGTAACACGGAAAATCTAAGAGTAAATTTTATTGTATAAAATGAAGGATAAAACGTAAATTTGTGCACAAAATACGTGTAAAGGAGTAACAGAATAGGCGGATTAACGTTAAAAAAGAGGAAAAATTTTGAGAAATAATCAATACTAGTTGATAAGAGAAATCACACAATTTTAAATGAAAAAAAGAATTATTAAATCTAGTATTTAATACTTAAGATGACATTAGTAGAATCATTATATTTAAGAATTGTATAGAAACATTATACACGTTACTGAGCAGAAAAGAATAATAAAAAAAGATCCCGAGTTAATTTTAATTGTGGCGTTTACAGTGAATTTTCTCCCTAAAACCTAGTCTACAGACCGAGATTAACTCCTGTTTAGCCATCAAGGCCTACGCAAGCTCAAAATATGGACACCTTCAGCCGAAAATAAAAGGAATAAGTGAGAATAATTGGAGATTAACTAGGAATAACCCGAATAAATCAAGAATGAATAATATAATTTAACTTTTTGAAAGTGTTTGAACAGATTCTCAAACATTTTCGAAAGTCTTTACGCAAATGGTGCGAATTTTGTAAATATTTCTTCATTTCAGGCAACATTTCTGGCTTTCCACAACGATATTTCGATCCGGTAAAGCATCTCTGTTTGCAGATCTCGAGGTACCGAGATCGATTCTTGCGCGTTGCGCATTTCTTTACAACGCTTTTCACTCTTTTTCTATTTTCTCATGTATTTCCTTTCCCATTTATAGCTTTTTATCCTTTATATCAATATTTATCCTTCAAATAAAATGATCTTCTTAAGAAATATCCCCAGAACTTACTGACGCGCAGAATTTTCTTTCTCTCTATGTATTTCTTCTCCCTAAAAGATCTTTTTTAACTCTTTAAAAGGAGTTTTCTCTGTCATTCTTTACTATAATTTTCTCCTAAGTTTCCCTGAAAGTAGGAAAAGTACAAATTGATTACACATGAATGTTTTCTACGCCCTTCCGTGTAATTTAACACCACTCAGTCGCTGTCGAGAAGTTAATTTCATCATCTCATCGTGATCCGCCGTATCAATTATCTTCTTTTTCACTTTTATTCGTGACTTCCGTGCGCAGTGACACGGTGAGATGGCGAAAACGGGCCTCCTCATCACGTCCAGCCTGTCGCGCGTATCGGCGGTGCTGCAGGCCGCCCGGAAGCATGTGTTCAAGACGCTGTACATCCAGATTGAGCCGAAGAACACCAACATCCAGACCATTCCCGTCTACTGCTCCGCCATCAACCGCATCTACGCCTCCTCCAGCGTCCACTGCGGCCACCTGGACGTGCGCGTGCTGATCACGAACCTCCGCGGCCACCGCGTGCAGAAGCTGAGCGAGCAGGTGGACGTGCTGATGTTTGACTCCGCCGTGCCGCAATCCGAGGCGTCTCTGCTGGCCGAGGGACTGCGGGCGCCCAGCGTGGTGCAGCTGGAGCAGCTGGAGAACGTCCCGGACATGGGGGTGTTCGAGGAAATCGACCCCACAGACAGTCACCGGATGTACGACAATGTTGTGCTGGGAGGCACCTTTGACCGGCTCCACATGGGCCACAAGATCCTCCTGTCCAACGCCGTGCTGCGGACCAAGAAGCGCCTGGTTGTGGGCGTCACAGACGCCAACATGGTGAAGTGTAAGTGTAATCCTGTGAACTTCTCCCCGGAGACGCGCCATAACCTCTCTTTTCTCTCCTCCAACAGCGAAGAAACTCCCGGAATTGATTCTGCCAGTGGATCAGAGGATACAAGACGTCACCAACTTCCTGCGGGACATTGACCACTCTCTGCGGTACGAAGTGGTGCCCATAGCGGATCCCTTTGGGCCCACAGCCACAGATCCTGACATGGATTTGATCGTGGTGAGCCAGGAAACGCTCAGGGGAGGTGAGAAAGTCAACGAACTGCGCCAGAAGAGCAACCTCAACACACTGGATGTGTACTGTATAAAAATGCTGGAGGTTGAGCCCGATGTGACGGACAAGGAGGTGAAGATTAGCTCAAGTAATCAGCGAATGGACATGCTGGGGACTCGCTTGAGGGATCCTGAGGTGAGAATTGGCGGAGAGAAGTGAGAAAAATTCACTCGAATAATGTGATGTTTCTGCAGCTCAAACCACACCTGGAGAGGCGTCCTTATCTCATTGGTCTGGTGGGTGGGATTGCCTCGGGGAAGAGTATCATGTGCGAGCGGCTGAAGCGCTTCGGGGCCGCTGTAATTGACTGTGACAAGCTTGCCCACTCTGTCTATGAGCCCGGAACTGAGTGCTTCAATGCGCTGAAATCACACTTTGGCTCTGGGATTGTGGGCAGTGATGGGCGAATCGACAGGAAAGTCCTGGGTTCCATTGTCTTCAACAACAAGGTGAGCAAAAGCATCACTTTTGTGTCGATAATTTCTCACTCATTTCACTGTGTTTTGGCAGGAAAAACTGGAGGAACTCAATGGCATTGTGTGGCCAGAACTGCTGAAGACTGTGAAGGAGAAAGTGTCAGAGATCCGGCAGAGTGGGAAGCATCAAGTGGTGGTCATTGAGGCGGCGGTGCTGATCAAGGCCGGCTGGCAGCGGGAAGTGCACGAGGTTTGGTCGCTCATCATCCCACCGGAAGAGGCGGAGAAGAGGCTTCAGGAGCGCAACAACCTCACTGAACAGGAGGCCAAGATGCGCATTGAATCCCAGCTGAGTAATCAGACTGTCGTGCAGCATTCCAATGTCGTCTTCTCCTCGCTGTGGAGCTACGAATTTACCGAGAAACAGGCCGTTAGAGCCTGGGAAATGCTCACGAAGCACTTGGAAGCCGAAATGACCTCAAAGATTTGATAGGTAGAGTTTATGTAGCGCTTTTATATATGATATTTGTTATTGTTATTATATCTACTATTTTCTGTTGGTTCTTGAGAAATGCATTTTGAAATACTCCAGCTGAAGTGTGTATGACTTTGAATTGGTATCTTAAGGCCCCGTCACACGACATATCCAAAAAGTGCAGAGTTGTTATCATATAAATTTCAGAACAGCACAGAAATTCCCTCATTTGTGCAAAGGAGCTCAATTTATCTGCCAGAACTATCGGATTTATGACAAAATCAGCATTTTTCCAGAGTTGTTGCCTTGTTCTATTCCTATCCTGTCAATCCTGCACACAATTTGCATCGAAAGGATCTCTTGAGTGACTCATTATCAATATTTTTCTGGAGTTAATCTATATCGTTAAATCAATGTTCTGCAATATTTTCTGGCGCTCTGTTGAGGCCTTCACATCACTGGAATTATTACACTCAGTCCTTGGAGTCCTTGGCTGCCGAGGAGAGTGCCAGGCGATGATGCTATCGCAACTTTCCAGACATGTGCTCGGTCACGAGAGTGGCTTCTGGTGCGCCACAATAAAAATATAATACCCGTGCCGGGGGAGGCTGGGGGAGGCTCGGAGTGGCGCTAATCGGTCAGCCATTCGGTGGGATTAGGCGCTGACGGAGGACGATCGTCAGCGGTGATTTATGCGCCTCCGGCTGGGGTTGTGCGTGGGTGAGGAATTGGTGGAACAGATGCAAGATTTTGGGCCATAGTTTTCTTGTCAAGATCAAAAATTACTGCCTTCACAGCTTTCATCGCCCTGGCGGAATGACTCAAAGCCGATTATGCCTTATTTCGCGGTTATCTTTTTTCGCCATTCTTCTTGAGGGTTGTGCACACACACACCCTTTTTCCCCCGTTTTCCCACCCGCAACGCGGAGGTGCGACGAATCCCACACAAAGTGATTAATCGCAAACGAGGAGCTGTGAGATGCGCCAAGGCATAAATCATTCGGGATCATATTTTGGTGGGTATAAATTTTCTCCGAGTGTCATCTCTTATTTTAATTTCACTTCCATACTTCTCTCCTCCTTGTCGATATACCCACAATTTATGCAGAATTTTATTCATGCGACTTTGCGCCAGGGTGAAAATGCACAGTGGTTCTTTTATCGAACAAATGACCCATGGAAAATTTTAGTGGCACTTGAGATGTGGCAAAAAAAAGAGGATTTCCCAGCCTTGGCGGAGGGAGAGTGGCAAAAAGTGTCAATTCAGTAGCCAGAAAATTCAATTGACTGTTTTATGATATCGCCAGCTCCTTTAATATGTATTTATTCTCCCGTCGCCCAGCGATTTTCCCCAAATTTCCTCCCTAAGGATTTATTAGCAGTAAATACAAGATGTAGACTCTCCGACTGGCGTAAAAAACTGCTCCCAGATCACCTTCAGGCAATTTATCTACACTGTGTGGCAAAAGGGAACTGAGAAAGGGACGACAGGACTGGGGAAAGTGGGGGAGAGATGGACGAAAAAAAAGAAAGTGTCAAAGGACGTTTCGCTTCGCAGAACAGCAGAAATTGAGTTACAAGACCTCTGATACCTCTCAATCAACTCTCTCGATATTGCCAATCTTATGCCAAATTGACTTCTCACACATAAATATGGTGCAAAATGGAAAATTCAATATTTGCGCGCTCTTCCTTCGCAAGAATTTCTCGCAAATGGAAAATCTTGAGGCTGTTTTTACAGCTGGACATTGAGTTAAAGAAGATAAATTGCGCCACCTGTAAGACAATCATAACTTTTCTTGCTGTCTAAGCACGCCACAGTTTTCAGAGATGATGAATTCTTGCCGTTTGCAAATGACCATTTATTCTTCCCTCGCCAGCAGCACAACAATTCGTCTTGACTTTGTTTAACCGCAATCTTGTTTCTGCGCCATTTCATTTAATTACTCCAACGCAATGAGACACTTTCCATCCACCCGCCGATCTTTTTTCTTCCCTCCGCCCACCCCATCCGAACAATCTTGGGGTTAATTTTCCCCGCCCACCCCCCAGCGGGGAAGAGGAGTGGGTGGAATTTACGACTTTTACGCTCGAAATCCGCGACTGTGATAAGGAATGGAAATGCTCAAGTGAAATTCTGTATGCGAACAGTGTCGTGAGCCATTGTGAATGCTTTTCGGGAAAAGGTGTAATATTCCGTCAGTGTGTCGTAAATTTGGAGATTCCGCGATTACAAGACGCGCGCGCGACGAAGGGATGTCTTAATTAGGATGTTCTGCGAGAGCAATTACGGTCCGCGACAGAGGTGAGTCGATAAATTAATCACATCCCTCTTTGTGGGCAAAAAGAGTTACGATCAGCCGTGATTTACTCACCCTGAAGATATCACTGCGTCTGTGGCTGCTAATCTCCCTTCTCTTGAAAGAACCTCCGGACAAGTGGTCCTCTTCACACGAGATACTCATCATTCTTTTTTTTTCGCCATGCAATAAGGATTACGTCACGGCGCAATAAAAGAGCATCGGCAAAAAGCGTCCATCTTCATCCAATTTCAGGCATCGTGTGATGCATTTTTGTAATTCCTCCAAATGCTCAGAGTCGCGGAAAATTAAACAAAGTGGATTTTTCACAGATTACGAGAGAAAGAGTGCTGAATAAAAAAATGTGTGCGAAGCTGACAGTCAGACAATATTAGGTTTTATCGTGGTTCATCAATATTTTGATGCTTTGCTGAGAAAAAAAGTGGCAAAATTTGGCCTAAAAGTAGGAATAAACGGCCAGAAATACAATCGGAACTTCTACATGACTTTCAAAGTTGATAAGATGATGTTAAGTCCTGGTTTTTTCTACGCGAAATGCTTTATTGTCGCACTCAAATTTTCTTCTCTGCCAGGAAATTTGGCCAGGAAGACGCCAGGAAGTTATAAACTTTGAGAATGCATGAAAAGATCGAGAAAATTATGCGAAAAATGCGGTTTGATTAGCGTCCCCCACGCCATCTCTGCTGCCCTCTGGCGACGATATGTGCAGAAAATAATCAAATGTTAATTACAATTTGATTTATTGCAATATTTTGCCGAAAATATCGAATTTTTGATACTTTTGCAATTTTACTTGGAAAATAATCATTTTTAAAGTAAAAACCAATTATTAATATACCCGAAAAATCGTTTAGGGACTTTTCTCTCGTAATCACGTCTACTTATCGGCTGATAAAATTTAATTCTCCGAATTGTTGTTTTAAATTAAACTCAATGATTTCTGAGCTTCGAAATCAATAGCGTGAATATTTGCATGTATTTCTGAATCAGAAAACACTTTTTCGATTTCTCAAATGGTCAAAGAGCCCTCAAACAGAAACTTGTCGCTTTCAATTACATCCCATTTTACTCTCACTTTAGCACTTGCTAAAAGATCCTTTCGCCCAGCTTCCCTTGGTGTCCTGGTGCGCTCAATGCAATTACAATTCGCTTTCAGAGCAAAATGATTGTTGCAAATAGAGAGACAGATGGTCACGTTGAGCCTCATCGTCTTGTCTCCTGATGTGCGTGTCGCAAATCCTCGAGGGTCGGCGTAATGGAAAGCATCAGGTCGATTAAATGGGCAAAAACGGAGTGCAATTGATTGAAAAAATTGCTAAATTTGATAATGAGATGGGTTTGGCAGAGTCGATTGGAGTTGAATTCTTATCGCCTTTCGCACTTCAATGAGCACATTTGCCCATTGATTTGAGGTGTGTGCAACTGGCTTTTGAGTGTGCTTTTTGTCTTATGGCGAAAACTTAACACCAAAACTTCACCACAGAGAGCAAGAGAGAGAGAGAGAGACTATTTAAAATGCCATAAACATAAATAATGCGTCGTCTTTCCACCCTCTTCGCTCTCTGGCGGAGGAAAGTTTGCACGCGAAAATATTTCTAATGAATGGAGCTCCCGGTCATTAATCAACCCCACACAAATGATATGGCAGCGCTTATCGAATTAATCCGGGATTAGGAGAGACGCAAATGTCAAATTTATTCGGGTGATTTTGGGTGAAAATGTGGAAGAGTGGAATTATCGAGGACATTAATCCTCTTTTCCCTGTGCCGCAATAACAATGCAGGAATAATTGTTTCTCTGGATGTTTGTGGCGGGTTTTTGCATGAGTGGAAAATAAGGTTTTGCCACAACATTTGCCGAAAACACTAATCCTGTTGTGGTGGTTTGAAATCTGATTTGCCATCGCACTTTTCTCAAAGTGTAAAGTGCGATGATTTGGAGTGAAGTTGATTCGGGATTTGAATTGATAATCTCTCGCAAGGAAGGGAAAGGCGCGATGGGAAATGGGAAGCAAAGATTCTATACCTGTCGCCAGAGGGAAAGGAAGCGATTAATCTTGGATCGTTTGGCGCAAGAATGCAATCAGAAAATCATTAAGGGAGGGACGATGGAGTCGAACAAATGCTCCGGGAGGACGACAAACACATGAGACAAGAGGAGGTCAATAGAAAGGACATTTATCATCGTGTCGCTTTGTGTTCAGTTGATTGGAACGGAAGAAAGTCCCTCTTGGACAATCGCCAGGAGACAATCTCGATCAACCCTTGGTGGGATTTTTAATTGCAAGTCGAGAATCAAGTGAATCGAGGGGCGTTTTTTCTCTCCTTGCGGACCAAATGACATGCCAGAGGATTAACCCCAGTTTGTTGTCATTTTGGATTTTCAACTTTCAATCACGGCCCTGATCACACATGTGGGTTTGGAACCATATGCCGCTGAATTAGATGTCACAACTCATCCACCGGGCTCCGTGTTAGAGCCCGAGACAGACAGACAGAGGGGTGAGAGATGCCCTGGTTAAATGCCATTCAACTGAACATATGTGTCGACAAGGATGCATTTGAATTGCAGGTTCCGCCGGGCTTCACTCGGTGTCGGAGTCGAAGATGAGGGCATCCCTGTAAGGGAGACGCAGAAGCCCGCAATCTGCATTCATATCTCGACAGTAATTTATGCAAATGATAATGAAAAATATGGATATTGGAAGTGCATATTTAGGGGAGATATTCAAAGTATTTTCCCAGATTTGAAGATATACAAGAAAGAGTTCGGTTGACGAGCATAGATTATGTTCTCAAATTATAATAATTAAACATTGCAATCTAATGCCATTG